CGGGCGCCCGGCCTGGCCAGGCGTAGCCTTGCTTTTGTACAGCCATTTCCACGTTCTTGTAAAAAGGAAAACACTGGCGACGAACACTAGGTGACCCCCCCCCATTCGCCTTTCCGGGAGCTCCTGGGGACCGCAAGGCGCGGACAAAGTCGTGCGTTTTAGACTGAACTTCGGTGTTTACTTGAGACTTTTTGTACAGTATTTATCACCCACGGAGGAGGCAGATAGCGTTTCTTTGCTCAAGGGGACACAAAGACCAAACGAAGCAAGAGGCGACTCCAACTTTTCTATCCCGCCGGCGCGCTCACTCTCATCCTGCATTGCTTCCTGATGGCTTTTGGTTGCCCGGGACCCAGTGCCGGGAGCTGTTCTCATTTGTTATCGATGTAGTAAGGCAGATCCAAACACTTAGAAGTTTTTTTGTAGTTGTTACCGCTTTTTTTTGGTTCGTTTGTTAATTTATACAGAGATCCCTCCACCCCTTTCAGACGGCAGCATTATGTTCTGGGTTTTGTAAAACTTTTCTGTATCTGAGCATTTCCATTTTTTTTGTTTTGTAATTATTTCTTGTAAATGCATTGTAAAATTTTTATTTTAGGCGTTTCGGCGTGGGGAGGCGGATTCAGATTATGTATATAGTTTCCTAAAAAGCCTTTTCTTCTAAAAACGAAAACAACACCCTCCCTTTAAAAATGCATCGAGTTTTGAGTCAATAAATTTAAGAGAGAAAAAAGCTCTTTTCCCCCCATAAATTTGAAACGTGCTAATTTTATATGCATGTTTTATGAGCTCAAAATACAATTAGTAAATCTGATGAAGGAGAAATCAGCATGGACTAAAAGTGAGGCAACCCCAGGGGAGAGGGTATGATTGTCACGGAGCCTTTCAGTGGAAGGAAGTTAAAATTTATAGATTATTTTGTAGAATTTACTGTGTTAATACGGAATGAGAAATAATTACAAAAACATCGGTTTATACTGTGGCCCTTTGGTGAGTTTTCATCTGAGAGCCTTTTTGTGATTCCTTTCTGTGGGCTTTGCGTCCTCCAGCTAGCTAGCCGGGGATCTGTGCCGCCAGGAGAGAAAACCCTAATGGCGGGATTAGTCCCAGGCTGGATGACAAAGACCACGGAAGGGGCACGGGCCCTGCAATTAACAAGATTGCAGGTAGTATTTATCCGGATTTGGCTCAAGGAAACACAATCTCTGAACCAAAATGTACTGTAACCGAGCCCCCTCCGTCCCTCCTCAGCCTTCCCTCCGGCTTATTTTTCCTTGGGAAAGAGCAAAATAATTTTGTTGGATTTTCACACAAAAAATCGGCCACCCCCTTAACCCCGCGTGAACTGGGATGCAAGTTGCTAACCGATGTGAATGCAAAATGCGGTGTTTATTATTCCTGATGAGATATGAGGTTGTTTGATGCTTTAAATTTTTTAATTATATTTTTTCTAGGTGTTTAATTGGTACATTGCAGTTTTTTTCTGGAATTTAAAGTTTTCTGTAAAACTTTGTCTTCAAGTAACCTGACAGCATTAAATATTGCATTTGAAAGTTATACTGTAGCAAATACATTTTGAAATTAGTCACAACATAAAAGTGAAATTATATTTTGAAAAAAACCCAAAAACCTTTAGCCCAAATCAAAATATGTTGATTTCATCAATCCCTCATTTTCTCAACATCTTTTCTTGTCTTGGAATGAGTGTAGACTATCTATCCAAAAATGGGCCTATGCTAGTGGGTTAATGAGAACCAAATTCAGCCTGCATTTGAGAATAGCTTCAAGTAAAATGCTAACCTGACAATTGACATGTGTAATTTTTTGGAGTCATTTTGATAATTTTGCTTAAACCATTTATTCCTTAAAGTGATTGCAGAAATTTCAAAAAAGGTGTCTACTGCTTCTTCCCAACAAGATAATAAAGTCCCTCCTCCCCCTTTTTTCTGCTTTAGCAATCAGATCCTTTGTGAAACAGTGGTTCCTTAAAGTCTTTGGATATATATATATGAGTTGCCACACACAGTCCCCTCTGGGAGATACTTTGGGAAATCCTGTAATGCTCTGTTAACTCACTAGCCAGCCAGTTTGAGGGTCAGGCCACATTTACTCTGAAATACACAGAGTTAAATGGACTCTCTTCGGTTCTGCTAACTTCCAATCTCAACATCTCCCTGCGATTGCTAAAGCAGCAGACATGTGTGGAGGTACTCATGTATGTGTATGTCCAAGTTTGTATCCATTCTCAACTCATGGCATGTTAAGTCTTAGCTCATCACACATATTAGTAATGTGGGTCTCACTTGGAATGTTTCAAACTATAAAAAGTTTACAGTATGCCAAGAACTCCAGGGAGAGCTGTCCAGTTGGTTTCCTGGAAGGTGGACTTAAATATTTTGGCATTTTTGCATATGTGCCTCATACATAGATAAAATATTCAAAGTCAGGGTGCCCCAAGCTATTTTGTTAGAAACCTAGAAAGGTCTTAAAATACGAATTCCTGAAATTCAGCGAAATGTGTTTTGTTGATTAAAACGACAGGGAGAAAAACATTCTTTAATGACTCCATTTAAAAACAACAAGGGGTGAGGGGAGTAAAGATAGCCAAAATTCGTCTCAGGACTGAGATCCTGTCACACCCGCAGTGTTTCTCCAATTTAAATTCGTGAATTTATTTCATTAGTGGAACTGTGAACTCGGTTCTTGTCAAGGTACGCCACATCGTATTCACGAAATGAAATATTATATGGTGATATGTATTATATGATGGCTTCATTCACTTCCCAAATCACAGGGCAGTATTTCTATCACTTATTCCAATTTTGTTTGGAAGCCATGTGGAGAACGCGGACAGGACTCTTTGGGGACCTTATACAAAGTTTGCATAACTTCCTGCTAGGACAACTGCGGGAAAGTCTTCATCATAAACCGGCCATTGCGAGCCGCCCGGCTCTCAGCTGAGGGTAGCAGGGTTTGCTTGAGGGGTTTTTCCCTTGTTTCTTTCTCCCCCGCCCCCCTCCGCCTTTAAAATAGATACTCACTAGCCCCTTTTGTCGTTGTTGTTGTTAAGACTTAGAAACCAGCCCCCTCTCCCCCACCCCCTCCGCCAAAGAAAACCACCAGTAACTAGGTGTAATGAATTAATTTTAAAACTGGTAGCGGGTACAGCGCGCCTGATCTGCAAATGTGTGTCGGGTAGCGTGACTGGTAGGTCTACTAAAATCATGCATGTGAGAGAAGAACACGCATATTCGCGCATTTCATGTTGCTGACAAAGACTAGGCAACGCAGATTTCTGTCTCCAGAAAAATTTCGGTTAATTCGAGAAACTTGCCCTGGGCGGCAAGCCCCTGGAAGGCGCGCTCCAAAGCGGCCCTGCCTTCTGAGCACCCGCCGCCCGCGGCCTCCGGCGCTCCCGCCCCAACGTCCGCAGCTCGGCCTGCGGAGCAGAGGCTCCAGAAACATCGGCGGTAGAGCGTAATAATAGGTTTGATTCCTTGGAAACTTCAAGTGAAAAGCAGACTTGGCCTTGGCACAGCTCTTTTTCCAGCGTGACTATTTGGCTGGATTGAAAGGACAGGCCAGGAGGGGCGGGGGGCGCGGCCCCCTGGGGCGAGAAGCTGAGGAAGGTGGGCCTGGGTTCCCGCCCCCCAGTCTTGCAGGGCTGGGGGGCCAGAAGACTGAACGAGGGCGGGCGGGTGCACGCGCAAGGAGGCCGAGCCGGGGAGGTGGGCACGCAGGGACCTTCACCCTCGCCCTCTGCTCCCGGCCCCTGGCCCGCCTCCCCGAGTCCAATGGCGAGGGGGGGGTGTGTGCAGAGCTCTCCCTGCCTCTCCTTTTTCCCTCTCTCCCTCCCTGCCTTTCTTCCTCCTCCCCTGCCTCCCTCCTTCCTCCGGGCCCATCCTCTCCAGCTGCGAGCCCGCGGGGCCCGCGCTCCGCCCGCCCCCGGGAACCCAGCAGCGTCAGCGGCTGGCGGCGCCGGGCAACCTGGATTTGGGCCTTGAGTCCCCTCCTGGCGGAGGCAGCCGTCACCGCCCCCACCCCGACCCCGGCCTCCACGTCGTCCTTCCCTTGCTCTGTCCGTGGTTAAGCCCGAGCAGTGGGCGATTTCCTGACCTTCCTTTCTAATCCCGCTCAATTCTTTTCCTCTCCACCTTTCTGGCATTCCCTTTCGGTCGCTTTATCCACTCACTTCTTCATGTCCTCCTTTCCACCTCTCCCTTCCTCCCCTCACTGACTCCAGCACCTTCCATTCCGTTTCCCTGCGATTTCGGCCTTCCGTTTGTCTCTACTCGCGGTCCCTGTCTCCCCCCAAGGCCTGTGACCGGGCCCTCGTCCTGGTCGAAGCCCCAGGACCCTCCCTCTGAGTCTCGGGTCAAGGTCCGCAGGTGTCAGGAAGCGGCCCGTCCCCCACTTTCCTTCGGTTGCGTCCGCACGGGCTCTGCGCGAGAGGGGTCTGGGGGTTCCTCTGGCACCATCGGAGCCTGCGGTCCTGGCGTCGGCTCCCAATTCACTTAGGTGCAGCCTGGACTCGGAGGCCGGGCGGGGTGTCAGCCGCCGGCAGGATTAAGATGACTGATGCTAGGGAAGAGGGCAGAGTGTTTTTGTGTTTAAAGAGGGAAGGATTAGTAGAGAGAAAGTCCTGACCCCGGGTCAGCTGCAAGTCAAACCCTTTTACAATCAGCCAGCGGAACAAGCACGTCTCCTGGTCCGGTCGCAACAAGTGGGAGAAAGGAGGGGGAGGAGAAGCAGGGCGGCCTAGTTGCCGCGCGGGATGAGGAGTGGGGGGTGGCGTGGAGATGGGGAGACCCGCACCCCGGGGCTGGGGAGCGGGAGGGCAGCGGGGAGATGGGGAGACCCGCACCCCGGGGCTGAGCAAGCAGGAAGGCGGCAGGAAGATGGGGAGACCTGCACCCCTGGCTGAGACCTGCACTCCCTGGGAGGGAGGCGGGGAGAGGGACAGAACCCCGGCCCGAACTCTCACTGGGGGGTTTGGGGGACAGTGCTGAGGGGCGCGGGTGGGGCGAATAAGCTCAGTGCGGGCTTGGAACTTCACAAGGTTGGATTAGTTAGTTGTCCATCAGAATTCCTACTTTTTAACAAGAATGCCTGCATCTTCCATTTCCTAAGCAGTCTTCCGGCTGTTCCTCCGATAGGAGCCAGGGGAGAATGTTCTGTGGGCTCTGCTCCAGAAGCTCTGTCTTATAAAAGCAATTTCATTTCCATAAGAAACCAAAGCTAAAAGGCTAGGGCCTTGGTCGCTCAGCCTTTAGCGTCCTTACCAGTCTCTCCAGGAATCATTGCCTTGCTTAGATTTTTGCAAAACTTGGTGTGTGTGTGTGTGTGTGTGTGTGTGTGTGTGTAGCAGTATGGAGGGGTTGAAATATATTAAGGCTGTCTCTAGACCCCGTTCTCCGTTGAGATGGAGGAATGAGGCAATAATTTGGGTTTTAAACGATGGCACGGTTCATCAGAGAGTGAAATCCAAGGGGCTCATCTGAAAAGTAATGAAAACGAGTTTGTGGTGAAGAATGGGGGTGGGGGTTGGATCAGGGATGGAAAGAAAGTAGATACATTTGTCTTCCTTAGCAGTCAGGTTGGGAATTTCTGCTGAAATAACACTGCCATCAAGTTTTAACAAATATGAAAAAAAGAAAAAAGCCAAACAAGTGATATATCCAAATAGAAAAAGATTATCTATTTAGAAAGAAAAAAAATAAATTACAGGATTGCCATATTTTCCTCTAAATTGGCTTTTCATCTTTAAATAAGAAAACATCAAGGAGAGAGAGGGAGGGTGGGGGGGAGAGAGAGAGAGAGAGAGAGAGAGAGAGAGAGAGAGAGGGAGAGAGAAAATTTTAAAAACATGAAACAAATAACTAAATAACTCCAAGTGAACTGACACACCCACAGCCTACCCTGGGTAACACTGGTACACTAGGGTGGTAAACAGGGTCCGAGTTCCAAAGCAAGTAACAGATTGCTACTTGGTAAGTTGCTAAGTGTAACCTATGGGGAAAATTTGTCTGTGGCAGAAACTCTGGACATTGTCAGTAATTCTGAATGCCCCACAGGCAGCTCACAAGGATTTAATTGCCCCAGGCACTTCAGAACAAGCATGTGGGTACATTAAAGATGTTGTTTGTGAAGAACAGCAGGTCATCAC